TTTCAGCTGGTTTTAGATTTTAGACCTTAATAAACATTTATTCATGTACAGCTTTAGTATTTGATTTTCCAGAGATTTGTCATTTGCTTTTCTCCTCATGCCTTGTTCTTAGTTTAGCCATGGAATGTTTTTTGGAAATGAAATTTAATAGGTAAAATGAAGATGTATTATGTGTTGATCTTGATATGACAACTCGAAACTTTGCCCACACTAGCAAAATGAAATTCACTCCTAAAACTTATGGATGGTACAAAAAGCCAAATAAAATAATTGTAATTGTATTTAAAACCGTGAAAGTTAGTATAATTATAATTATAATTAAAAATAAAAACTAATAATTATATACAAATAAAAATAAATTTATAGATGACATTTAGTTTGATATACATATACAATTTGTGCTTAATAGCTCAGCCCAACAAGAAGCCCATGAATTTATATCCGTACCTAAGGAAATTTACATATATTGAACTCCTATAGAAAATATTTACATATATACGTTCTTAATAACTTTTCATCAAAATGTGATTTTGAGGTGATGTTTTTTTCATATATACGAGAACACATTTCACGAAGCCGGTATTAATTTTCTCTCTCTGCATATTAAATGTGCATTGAATCAAGTCTAAAAAAGCGCAAGCAAAAAAAAAAAAATTTGAAAAAAAAATAAATATCAAATCTTATACCTAGAATTAAGTGATTGAAGAATTCAAAAATAAAAACGGGAATGTTTGTTAAACCACATATTGATATTGAATTCGAAAAAAATAATCGTCTGTCCTATTGAAAAATCTCCTAAAAAAATTACCTCTGATCCGTAATGTAATTTCGCATTTGTTCATAGAAAAATATCCGCTGATCAAAACTTCGAAAGGTATACTGTATACAATAATTCTATGGAGCCATCGGATGCTCCCTTATGGAGCCATCCATAACTTCATGTATTGACACGTGTTCAATGTGTATTTATTGCAGGACACGTGTCAATACACCATTTATAGATAACTATGGATGACTCCATAAGCTGAACCATCCGATAGTTCCATAGCAAAGTCGGTACTGTATATATACATCAGATAAACATGATCCGACAGTTCTCTAATATTAACCGTATAGTTATACATAAGATAAGCAACATATAAAAAACACTAAAACGGATAAAACATAATACACAATTCTGAATTACTGCAAAATCCACATCGAATGTAATTATACAATAGATAAACAACACATGTGTACTTTATATGACATTTACAAAGTTCAACCAACAACTTTGCGCACTCAAAAAAATAACACAGTATAGATTGTGTATAACTAACATATAATTTGTGTATATGTTTACTTTACTCCTTCGTGGGGAGTTTTCTCGGTGATCATAATTTTTTGGTCGATATGGGTTGAGAAATTAGGAAAGTGAAAATAAATTCGGAGGAAGAAAATTCGGACAAGATTCCATTAGATAACCGATAAAGAAGCTACCTTCCATATCTCATGCTAATCTATCTTATCCAAGCAATCGTTCTTATCTCGTAATTGTGTAGAAGTTTTTCCTGTTTTGTTTTTTTAAAATAAAATTTGGAAGCTCGTTGAGGGAGTAATAGGCACTAAACATAATCCCCAAAAGCCCACACATGGCCCAACTAGCGTCAACAAAGAGTCAACACCCATTAGTCAACGCTAAATAGTCAGTTTATGGTGAATAGTGGTGGACCCGAATCTCATGCTTTTTGAAAAGTGATTTGATTGATGTATATCATCGTGGCATATAAATAGATTTTAATTATGATTGACATAGACAAATCTAAGTAAAATAATCTCAAAACTATTCAATGTAAAAATAAAATACTAAATCTATAATATATGTCAACCAATAAAAATACTCCAATATTTTTTTATATTAAAATAATTAAATTATGAATAAATGCTGACTGCTCAAGTTTATATATTTGGGTCCAAAGTAACTCAAATGTAGATTTAGTTTCATTTTTTAATTTGTACATAAGTTAGACTATATCCAATTTTAATTGTATTGGAAAATATTTTTTTATAAATTAAGTTTATTTCTTATTTAGAAAACACTATATGTACATAATATTGTATATAGTGGTGTACATAACACTCACATTGAGTGAGACCAACCAAAAATAAAAAATTAAGTGGACCTCATTTCATGTGAGAATTATGTACACCTCTATATACATTTATTATTATTATTATTATGTTTATGTAATATTTTTCTTCTTATTTGGCATGTGATATTTTGGCAAGGACCAAAACATTGTGCTAGACGTGGCCAGGTGCCGGGTCCGGGCCCGGCCCGCCGGGTCCACGGTCCACATGGACGAGGCCCGGACCTGGACCGAAAAAAGTGACGGTCCGGAAAAAAAAAGACATAACATAACCGTTGCCGGCGGTCCGCCCGTGGCCCGACCCGGCCCGGCCCGGACCGCCGGGACGAAATTTTTTTTTTTGGAACCTGGACCGAACCGCGGCCCTTGCGGTTCGGTCCAACGGACCGGCCCAAATATGGCCGGTTACGGGCCGGTTCGACCCTTGGCCATGTCTACATTGTGCTCTTATGAAATTGGTCAGTGATTATTTTCATTTATTTTTTTATTCATTTGTATTTTACAATACTGGTGCAGTCTGCTAGAGTTGACGTTTATGACTCTTGTCTCATGCGCCAGTAAATCATACTCTTTACACATATTTATGCTCCTCAAGGTTATAGGTTATAATTAAACCCTGTATTTTCCACATCATGTGAGAAATTAAATTGAAATATAAAAGTGGGTATTGACTTCTTTGGATATTAACAAAACACAAATATTGCTACTATGTTGTCTAACTGTTGGACAATTATAATTTCTTACTAAAAATGAATATTTATACCATGAAATGTTGTACCATTAATATCTATATTATATTTTAAGTATGAAAAATAAGTATGACAATATGTAAATCCGTTGATATTCATATGCCATGAGTGAGTGACTGTATAACAATTAGACTTAACATATTATAAGTTTAAGCTAAGATAAAATGTATGTCTACATCAAGAAAAATCAAAGTGGCAATCATAAATGCACTTTTTGGCCATAGTCAACTGGACCGTGAGGATGAGACTCACAAATGATATATTATTATTATTATTATTATTATTATTATTATTATTATTATTATTATTATTATTATTATTATCCATACACAAATGATATAATATTATAAACAATACAAATGATTTTATTTTTTAATGACAATTGAAATTATTACAGTGGGAATAGAATAACAGCTTGTGTTGTAATTAGTAACTACTAATTCTGCGTTAAAATGATATGTATATTATTTAAATCTCGATTTGACTTAAATGTGTAGCTTTTTAATTAATTGTTTAGGGATAAAGCTTAAATGTCGATTATTGAACTCCAAATTATTGAGTTTGATAGCCCAGAAGTTTGTGGATTTTTTGTGCTTTCTCGTGCCCTTGACAAAAAATCAATGTTTGTTGACTTGTGGATAACCATTTCTTTTTCTTTCTATTTAGAAATGATTGCAGATAAGTAGAAGAAGGTAGAAATTATTTATCTAAAACAAGTTGATCAATCATAGTTTAATTGAAATGACTAATGAATTAAATTATTAACTTAACTACTTGAAGCGCATAATTCAATATACATGACTAATGAATTGAGTGCATTCACAATATTTTGCATGAAAAAGATGATTACTAACGACTTTAATTGTAATATTTGTTAATTGCTTGTGTTATGCATGAAAGAATTGGTATTTTATTTCCATATAGAATTCATACTATGTTGGGTGTGGAAACTCAATCCCACATCGAAAGATTAAATATTTTTAAATCAATATATAAGTTTGGTGGACTACTCTTTCTATAGCCAATTGATCTTAGAATGAAACCTCATTTAAGCCTGTATGTTGGGGAGAACTGAGTTTTGAGTTGTTGATCCCAACATACTATTCTAAGGAAAATGATTACCATTTTATGGAGCTTCATAACTAATTAGCTTCATTTGTTCCTTTTTTTTTTTGGAAAAAAAATTATATATATATATATATACACTTTATTATCTAAGGAAATTTGATTAATTAGAATGCTGTTATCAAATGTTCTTATATTCTTAAAATCATTTTTACCTTTTCATTTAACCTTTCAGACAAATAAATTTTTATTTTTTTTCTTCACTTTTTTAGATGAGATATTTTTATTTGAAAATTTTTTTCATAGTCAGTAGCACCTTGATATCTATTTAATTAATTCCATTTACAAGAATTTTTCTAGTCCAAGTTCTCAAACTCCCATTCTCTTAATTCATCAGTGACAGATTGTGGCAATTCTCCTAAAATTAAATAAAATAAAATATAAAGAGAAAAAAGAAGTCACAAAAATTTCAACTACGAAAAGGAGCATAAAAGGAATAACATGATAATGACATTTTTTTAGAGGTTCAACTATTAAAAAATAAAAAAGTGACTTTTGATGAGATTCAATTCTGAGTCAAATAATTCAGCCAAATATCTGTAGAAAAACATATATTATATATTGATACAGTACCCCCACTCTAAGGCTATCTCATTATTTTATTTTACTTTTTATCCGAATCTATATGTGAACAAGATATTATTCTTGATTTATTAATATAAAAGGAATATATTATTATTTTATTTAATAACCTATTAGTTAGCATAAAGATAAGACATAGTTATCTTATAAAGAGAAATCAAATAAAATGATCTTATATAATAAAAGTTATTCATGAAACCAAATTAATTCTATAAATATATTATAAATATATGTTTTTTTTTCTCCGAAATAATTATTACGAGAAAGAAAAGTTTTGTACCCGTACCTTTTATTTATTTATTTATTTTAGTTTTGCCTCATTGGTTGTACATATTATTTCTATTTTCATTTATTGAAGTAATAAATTAATATTTTTTTACCTTATTTTTTATGTTCCTTGAATTATGTAATCTAACTAATTTATAAAAGCGATTTAGATGGTAAAAAGGATAAAGATATAATCCAAATTTAGTGGACCATTTCTCTTATGTAGCTATTTAATGAGATAGAATCATTAGAAGGGGTCAGTAGCGAAATTAATTATTAGCTTATGTTATAATTATCAAGTAATCTAG